CTCTCGCACATTGCCTTCGCGTTGTTCCACGTTGTAGGAACACTGATAAATTTGTAGCAGTGATGATTGTACAGTATTACTTCAGCTGAAATAAACACCAAACAGATTTCATTCAAAATGACCATTGCCGGTACCTGTATTTTGATACATCGTCCCAGAGCGATTCTCCCCCGTACGAAACATTGCATGAAACTGCACTCTGGCCGTCTTGGATTTACTCGACTCGAGTTCGACACGATACCAAGTTAAAATTGTTAGGAACAAAAGCAGACATTTCACATAGTCGCCACGCTAGAGTATTGTTATGACTGTTTTTTTTTTTTGCTATATGTTTACTTAATGTTATGTTATGTTTACCTAAAAAATGTTAGAATAGAACAAAAATATATAATTATTCTTACAGCACTCAACAGATGTACATTGATGCGCCGTTATTCTAAAGGAGCCACTTAAAATTCCAAAGCAGTAATTCTTTACCAATCCAAAACAACTCACTGAGAATAATATTGTCTCGCCTTCTTTTGGGGTGTGTTATAATTCCACTTACTTTACTTTTAAACCTATTCTATCATTCGACTTTATTTCGACCTTTCCTGTGTTACCCCTGGAGAATCGTTTTTGCGAAAGTCGGATTTACTTACAAGGACCAGAACAGTGAAGAATTACAGGAGCAGGGTCTCAATATTGTTAGCAAAAGCAGTTGTAACGACGACTAGCAGCGCAAAAAAGGAAACCAAAACAAACCAATACAAAAAAAAAAAAAAAAAAAAACAAAAAAAAAAAAAAAAAAACAAGTGTAGGCCTATTTACAGTGTGTTGACGGTACTACTACACAGCAACAACGGCGTAGGGATGAGGTCCGGGCTATTAGGTGCCCCTTTAAAAATAGGCATAACAAATATAATTTCCACTTTAATTTCTTTAAAAAAAAAAGGGGGGGGGGGCCAAACGGCCAGCAAGTCCCTCAGTGTTATTTTAGGTTTAGAGGTGATAATTGTTGGTTAGTGTTTCTTGCAATTGTTCACAATTTACGTGCCATCATATCTTGCATATTTGTAGACTACCTCTGAGACCGCACGGGCTCCCTTGCTTGCCGCGTTGGCTGCTTAAATGCTGCGTGACACGCCATGAAGCCATACAATTGAGAGCGTCGTTCGAAAACAAAACGAAGTATTCTGTAATCGTAGGCTAGGCGTATTCTTAGCTTAAAAATATTCCGAAAATAATTAATTATTTGCCACGGTATGTCCCAAATCTGCTACAAAACCAAAATGGCTGGAAAGGAAAGAAGAAAGAAGTATCTCAAACAATTTTAAAACCACCAATGATTAATATTTTTTGTGTACACTCGCAAAATATATAGACACAGTATCCATAGTATCCTGGTACCCCACGGACCACTTTCCAAAAACGATCGCGATCCAAAAATGGACAGCGAGTTTAAAAATTGATCGTGAAATATCAGAAATACAGTGCACTCTGCATTTCGAGACACCTCTAATTCCAGGACCCTTCTAATTTTGATACTTTTCAAAAGACCAAAATAACAATCCTTAAAATTTTAACACAAAGCTGTCCCTGTAATTGAAGACCAACCCCGACACCACTCCAAATTTTCAGGTCTCGAACCTCCCGTGGATTCGAACTGTATGTGCATTGTTTGATTTCTTACAAATCCATCAATGAGACAAAACAATTACATTTCATTTTACGAAGTTCTCCCCAACTAATGATGATACAGTACAATGTATGAGCGCTCCTTCGTTTCTATTCAGCTGATAATGCCTGCCCAATGCTCTCGGATCGTGAATTTAAGGCTGATGGGAATTTTCTGAAGTGAGAGTTTTATGATTGCTTGTATATACTCGCATTACATGTTCCGTTTATTTCTAAATTTTAGTACAGAAATTTAACGTGAAAACGCGAAATAGATAAACGGGTTGGTGTTTACTTCTATTTTCGAGAAGTTGGGCATAGTAGGCTTAAATATATTTTGATGAGTTCATTTGATATTTTAGTGGGTAGACTTATCTTGTAAGTATGGTAAGCAATTACATTTACCAGAAATGAAACATTAAACAGCCAGAAGGACAAAATTGGTTTGACATGGACAGCGGAAGGAAAGTGAAGACGAGGGAAGACCAAAGAAAACATGGAGACGAACGTTGGAAAAAGAAAGGACTAAGGGAATAGATTGTGTTAGTTTGTGAAATCACAGTAGCGGGTCAAAACGAGAGCGTATTGGTTGTCAAGCGTAGGCGTAGATCCCGGGGGGATGGGGAATATATCACCCAAATATTTGACAAGGGGGGATGGTCCATTGTATCATCCCCCCAATATTTTGACTATGTATGGGATAAAATGGAGTTTTACACACTTCAAAAGACTGTCACAGAAATAATTTGCACTGTCTTATGCGCTTACAAAAATGAAAATTAGCATAATGTATTAATGTTGATAACAAAATTTTTTTATCTGGTACCAATCTAAGCTCTTCTTTCCTTAGATGTGCTTGCAAAGAGAGCCACATTTCACACTCAAGGGTGTGTACAACATCAGTAATGTTATGTCAATTCCAAGAATGTTTAAGGTTATATCAGTTGATGAGGAATTTATTGATTAGGCCTATAATAGCAAATTGCATCAATTTATTTTGCAAAAACAAGAATTCCAGCTTCAGAGGGTGGGGGGCACATCCCCTGTCCGCACAAGGGCACACATTGGCGCCAACATCAGGCGCGTAACAGGGGTCTTGTGTCAGAGTGGGTATTTATTTTCCCGGTTAGTAATTTACCATACCCACCCCACCCCACCCCACTCCCCATATAGAAAACAATACGACATAGGGCTTATCTTATTTATAATATAGTCCACACACGTGTGTTTGAAACTAAATATAAGCATTTTCATCATGGCTTTATTTATTACAAACATATTCTTTCACCATCAATACATATTAATGCCCTTCTTTTAGGTTAAAACGATCTATCTTAAATTTGTCTTTCTTGAGTTTGGGACTATTATTAGGCTTATGTGTATGTGTTTAAATTACTTAAAAGGATAAACCTAAAAAAGCCCTAAAAAATGCGCGCGAACGCGCAAAATATTTTTGTGTTTTTAATTCTAATTTCGTCGGAATTTATGAAAACTTCCGTAAAATGTGCAATTTATAGAGGAAATTGACCTACCGTAACAAGAAATGCGAGCAAAGAATTTGAGAATTTTAGGCACTTTCAGAGGATGCATTTGTCAAGTGGTGGGGAAAGAGTTTCCAAAGATGGATATTTTTTCCTTGTCCTCCGGTGTTTTTAATTCTAATTTCGTTGGAATTGATCAAAACTCCCTAAAATGTGCAATTTTTAGAGGAAATTGGCCCATGCTAACAAGAAATGCGCGTTAAGCGCGCGAAATTTGAGGTTTTTTAGGCACTTTCAGGGGATGAAAAGGGCATTTATAAAGGGGTGGGGAAGATTTTTCAAAGATAGATATTTTCCTCTTGTCCCCCAGTGGTTAAGCCATCGGGCAGCATAGATCAAAGGAGTTATGACAGTTTTTGAAGTGGAGAAGGGGTTGCAGGGTGTTGTGAGTCTGGTCATTATGATATCTTCCATTTTTGTCTTTATTTTTCTCTTCTCTTTTTCTTTTTCTAAATTTTCTTTTTTTCTTCTTTCTCTTTCCCTCCCTCTCCCCTCTTTCTTTTCTCTTATTACCCAGCCCGGTACGACGGCTTGGTCAGCCCGGTAAAAACCATCATTTGCGGCTGTCTCTTATACACATCTAGATGTGTATAAGAGACAGGAATCGTAAACTTATATGATTATGCCAATTGGTCGGATTGATTCGGATGAATTCAGCATAGACATAATCATGCAGCATGTTGATAACGGCATTGTTTCTATCCGAATTTCCATTGAACACCTTAATATAAAATAGTTACAAGGGTAAATATTATATATATATATATCATTGTATGTTACATGTTACATAAATGTAATATTGTTATTATCTATTATCTATATCTTAAATCCATGGAGGAAATCTGTAAATCGCCACCGCTTAACTTCATCTCAACTGGAACCGCTGTCAGGAATGGAATGTTCTCATATCTTATTTCTTTTGAGGTTGGATATTGGATAACAACTAAAAAAATAGCCAAAAATCACCGAAAATCAATACCTATTTTGCCATGTTTCGCAAGTTGCAAGAATTATAAGTAAGAATTAGTAATAATAAGTGGGATTTGTATAGCACATAATACATAGGTTTTTATGCGCTGGAAATTTCCAAATTAAAGTAAACTAAAAATATGAGTCTTAAGACGATTTTTAAAGATCTCAACTGAAGAAGATTCACGAAATTATATAGGCAAGCTCTTCCACACCTTTGGAGCCACAAGGGAGAATGCTCTTGATATTGGATAACAACTAATAAAATAGCCAAAAATCAAAAGGGAGAATGCTCTTTCCCCATACTTTTTTGTCTGACATGAAGGAACGAACAATGGAGATGAACTAAATGGGGATCTAAGAGCTCTAGAACAAGTGGTGAAGCGAAGTTGGATATGTATGAGGGTGATTTATTTTTTAACGATATTTATGTGAAGAGCAACTATTTAAACGTTTGCAGGCAACGAAGAGTATGTGTTATATGCTCAGATCTAGAAACTCCTGACAGGAGACGTGCAGCCATATTCAAGAGAAGTTACAGCTTCCTTATATACTTTTGAGGAAGACCAAAGAGTATAACATTGCAATAGTCCACTGACTGACTTTAATTAAGGCATCGAAGATCTTGATGGCTGCTTCATTAAAACCTTTCGGAATAGTTTTGATGTTGCGTATATGATACGATACTGCTTTACTGATGTTTCTAGTGTGCCTTTAAGTCTGGCGGTCTTGATTTTTAGGGCGAGCTGTATATGGCAAATTGTGTATACAGGCCTAATTAATTGTATTCATAAATTAATCCATTCCACACAAATTGACTGAAGCAGCACTAGAGCATTATTTTATTCCTGCCCACATCAGTAACATGATAAAGAGTTATTTTGGAGGAGTTAAGATCAGATTCAGCACTGCAAGACTTACACAACGCATTGGCAGAATTTGGAAAAGGGGATAGTTACAGGCTGCACAATCTCCCCGATACTTTTCATTATGGGGATGAATCTAATTATTTCAGCAGCAGGGAAGAAAGCAAAGGGTCCAAGAATGGAGTCTGGAATTTGCCAACCGTCGATCAGAGGTTTTATGGATGATCTAACAGTGACAACAACTACCCACGTACAAGCAAGATGGGTGTTGGAAGAGCTGGATAAGTCTACAACATAGGAAAGAATGAAATTTAAACCAAAAAAGTCAAGAGGTTTGGTGATCAAGAAGGGAAAGGTGACCAATAGATTCAAATTACAGATACAAGGGGAGCCAATTCCTGCACTTGAGGATAATCCGATTAAGTGTTTGGGGATGTGTTTTGACCAGACACTTAAAGATACTGGTAGTATACACAAGCTGGTCGACCAAGCAGAAGAATGGTTGAAGCGGATCCAGAAATCAGAATTACCTGGGAAATTCAAAGTATGGGTGTACCAGTATGGGATGCTCCCTAGACTTATATGGCTTCTGACTCTGTATGAACTGCCCCTTACCACGGTGGAGGCAATGGAGAGGAGGATAAATAATCATTTGCGGAAATGGCTGGGAATTCCACCAAGTTTTACATCAATAGGCCTGTACATTAGATCTGGGCAGTTGCAACTACCAATATCTTCAGTGGTAGAGGAGTTTAAGATTGAAAAATGCAGGCTGGTAATGACCATAAGAGATTCTAAAGATAGGAAGGTTAGCCAAGCTGGTATTGAAATACGAACAGGACGTAAGTGGTCGGCAGAGGAAGTTGTAGAGAATGCGGAGAGCAGTTTAAAGTTAAGAGATATCATAGGAAACCCTTGTATTGGCAGACAGGGTCTAGGAACCAGCAATTTCCAGCAATGGAATAAAGCTAACATTAAAGAAAAACGAGACATGGTGCAAAAGGCGACTCGTGAGAGGGAGGACGAAGTTAGAAAGTCTAGAGCAGTGGAGCTGGGAGCACAGGGGGCGTGGACGAGATGGGAGCTACCGCAGAGAAGATTAACTTGGGCAGAAGTGTGGAGAATGGAACCATATCGTATCTCGTTTTTGCTCCGATCAGTATATGATACTCTACCTACACCAACCAACCTTTGTTTGTATGGCCTGAAAGAAGATCCGTTGTTTAAGCTCTGTGGTGAGAGGGGAACACTTTCCCATATATTGTCAGGATGTAAAACGGCTTTAATACAAGGGCGGTATAGGTGGAGGCATGACAAGGTTCTACAGGCGTTTGCACAGACAGTGGACCAAGAACGTCTCAAGAAACGACCACGCAGAATAAATAAACCTTCTTCAATTACTTTTGTCAAGATAGGAGAGAAAACACCAAACATAATGGAAACAAGGGAAAATATTCTACAATTAGCGCATACATGGGATTTTCAGGCTGATTTGGGGAAGAGGTTACAATTTCCTCAAGTCGTATACACAACATTAAAACAGGACGTAGTTCTGTGGTCTACTGAATCAAAGAAGTTAATAATGGTGGAGCTCACAGTCCCTTGGGAAGAGAATTGCGAGATGGCAGCTGAGAGGAAGAGGGCCAAATATCAGGACTTCCTGGACAGCTGCAAAGAGAAGGGATGGAAAACGTGGTTGTACCCGATTGAGGTCGGTTGCAGAGGGTTCCCAGCGCAATCAGTTTGGAAGTTTTTAACTGCCATCGGGCTATCAGGAAAGGAAAGAAAGCGAGCAGTAAAAAAAACTAGGAGAAGCGGAGAAGGCATCCTGCTGGTTGTGGATGAAACGAGAGGATATGAACTGGAGACCAAAGTAGAGAAGTAGTGTTAGGCCAACACTACTGACCCACCAACAAGAAGGCGTTACGATTAAGGGTTGAAACGCTGCGTGTTTGTTGGACACCGTCTGAGGATTTCTACATTGGTCAGTTTGTGATAAGCAACCTGTGATGAGCCATTATCAATGTGATTAGTCCTGCATTTGTGGAGGTGAGTGATGTAGTGGAAGAAAGAGGAAGAGCCTCAATATGTGGCATTTTAGATGTTATTTAAAAAGATAGAATCAGAGTAGATTTACAAGGTCTTATCAGGGATCCGGAACAGTGAAATTAATTTCACTGTAATGTTCCCTGGTCTTATCAAATAGTTACCGATAGTACTTTGTTATTAGAACCCGTGTTTTAGTCCAGTTATGAATATGTTTATGGTATATGAACTTACTGCAACTTGACCATTGGCGTCCATGATTTCTTCAAAGTTGTCACCATTAGAGCTGTAAAGAACTTTATATGACGTCACCCACTGGTCATTATTATGTCGACCTTGTGTAATTACTCCAGTTACCTTATACAAAGAACCTAAGTCAGCTTGAATCCATTGATTTTGGTCTTTGGGTCCAGCCGACCATGCTCCTGTACCAGAGCCGTCTCGTACGGTGTTAAGCCTCCCACGATGAGCGCCATGAAAACTGTCGTGTTCAGATGACGCTGTCAGTTTTTCTGGAGGAATTGTTCCGTCTTCGACCCCAAGAGCATCAAAGCAAAACGCTAAAAAATATTGGTCTTGATTTATATGTTACAATTCGAATTAACTCTCTCCTTCCAATATTACTCAGCATATTTTCAACATCAGACGTTTTTAAAACTTAAATTATCTATATTCTATACATTTACGTGCTACTGACAAAGGAACATTTCTCTTAAGTAATATTTCAGTTTAATATAAAAACTTTATAATTTGTTGTAAGGTCAGCATTTGAGTTAATTTATCATGGATGCTCACCAAATGTGTGTACAGTATTTCATAGCGTTCGTTGTTTGGTTAAATGAAATTGCATTTTTAGTTGTTTGCTTTTTAGCGGTGGTTAAATGAAAATGCATTTTAGTTGTTTGCTTTTTAGTATGTCATAGCGTTCGTTGTTTAGTTAAATAAAATTCCATTTTTAGTTGTTTGCTTTTTAGCGGTGTGTCTGTCTACATAAAGACACAAGTGAAAAGGAATGGTTCGTTGAAGATGTATGCTTCATACGATAATCAAATGCTCCGTATCTATTTGCATCAAGGACTAGTGCTGTCCAATTGGGCATGAGCAAAAATGTGAATAAAATTTTGCTTTAATCGGATTTAAATTCCCAACAAAACCTCAATGACTCACTTGGTTCAGGCGTCTGCATAGTAGACAGCAGAAGGTCCCGGCTTCACATCCCAGTTGAGGCAACTTTTTTCGCACTCGTATAGGCCTATATCCTCTTTTTTAACGTGCAAAATTGTCTACATTATTATTATGTCTATATATAATATATATATAT